TTTTTTTTTTTTGTTTTATTTAAAAAACTAATTCATTCTACGTAAAACTGTATGTATTTATTATGCAAAATAATTATAGCAAAATTGTGAATAATCTATGACAAATTAACCGTTGAAAAAGCGTATAGTTAATTGGTTTAATTTGATGTGAAATAGTTTTTTTTTTTGTTATTTTTGTTGAATTTGCAAATCAGAAATAACCAAAAAAAAAAAGACCCATTTGCTATGTGTTAACCATCAACGATCTGTGGATAGATCTAGAAATTATTGAAGTTTCTTTCCTTCCTTCCTTCCTTCCTTCCTTCCTTTTTTTTTCTTTGTTATTGTTTTTTCATCTCCTCTTATCTTTTTTATAGATGATTGATCCTTTATCTTGGTTATATAACGCAAATATTTTCTTGACGTAAATACTGTTTGTAACCGGTAAAATATCTATCTAGCTTTGCTGTGGCAATATCTGCAGATGGTCTCCCAAAGGATTACTTCAATAGATAGCTGTTATCGTAGTATAATCTTTAAGTGTCGCGTTTCGTTGAAGTTTCTTCATAAAATTTCTTATCTTTAAACAACAAAAAAAAAAAAAAAAATTGAAAATCTAAAATTTTTTTTTGCTACTGGTCAAATTGGTAATGATAAACATATGTAAATTGAACTGTGTAAACTGCATATGGTATTTGGGCACTTATCAGTGTATCCCTTTCTACTAGTTAATTTAATCAAACACTTTACTGCTCATAAATGGTTAGTTAAATTTGTTGACATAAAACAATGGATAACAAGAATAAAATTTATTTTTTGAAACAAAAAATAGAAGGATTTGACTGGTACGGCATTTTTTTTTTTTTTCATTACTGTTGATCTGTGGATACGTTTTTTTTTTTTGAAGATCTGTATAATCGGAGTTTGTACAAAGGTTTCGTTGTTTTTTTTTTTTATTTCTTGCTACTTATAAAATGTTTTTTTTTTTAATTCAGTAGACAATTGAAGAAATTGTCTTTTTAAAAAGATGCATCACTTTTTTTTTTTTTTTTTCAGGGTTGATAGACAAATCTTGTTTTTGTTTTTGTTTTTTTTTTTTT